ATGAGTCCCTCTCCTTCCCAATGAGTCCCTCTCCTTCCCAATGAGTCCCTCTCCTTCCCAATGAGTCCCTCTCCTTCCCAATGAGTCCCTCTCCTTCCCAATGAGTCCCTCTCCTTCCCAATGAGTCCCTCTCCTTCCCAATGAGTCCCTCTCCTTCCCAATGAGTCCCTCTCCTTCCCAATGAGTCCCTCTCCTTCCCAATGAGTCCCTCTCCTTCCCAATGAGTCCCTCTCCTTCCCAATGAGTCCCTCTCCTTCCCAATGAGTCCCTCTCCTTCCCAATGAGTCCCCCTCCTTCCCAATGAGTCCCCCTCCTTCCCAATGAGTCCCTCTCCTTCCCAATGAGTCCCTCTCCTTCCCAATGAGTCCCTCTCCTTCCCAATGAGTCCCTCTCCTTCCCAATGAGTCCCTCTCCTTCCCAATGAGTCCCTCTCCTTCCCAATGAGTCCCTCTCCTTCCCAATGAGTCCCTCTCCTTCCCAATGAGTCCCTCTCCTTCCCAATGAGTCCCTCTCCTTCCCAATGAGTCCCTCTCCTTCCCAATGAGTCCCTCTCCTTCCCAATGAGTCCCTCTCCTTCCCAATGAGTCCCTCTCCTTCCCAATGAGTCCCTCTCCTTCCCAATGGGTCCCCCTCCTTCCTGTTCATGATTTTTCAGAACCTATTCTTTCTACCTTTCTTTACCTCCTTAATAGTCATTCAACATTTTGTCTCTTTCTTTTACATTAACATAAAACATGAATCACTATCTTTTGGGCTAAAAGGTCCAACACCTTAAAACAAATATCAAACAAGCTATATGAAGTAAACATGTCAATTATCCACACTCTCTAAATAGTACATGTTCAAATTCCATATATAGTTTCTTTATTTTATTTCTTTCTTACAGACTATCTCCAAACAGCCCTCCCTCACATAAAATGACAGCCACACCTCAAAACCAGGGACCAAAGCTCTCCCCATACTAATTTGCCGACAATGAAACTGCCAGGTGGGACCAAAAAAATCAGAAAAACCCATCATTAAATAGAATGTTGTTAAGAAATAGCTCTTTTACTTAACAGCTATTCATTTTTATTGAATAAACATTTCCCAGTATGCATTCTGTTAACTGACCTGACAGCATATGCTGTATATGGAAAACTTCTAAACATTATGCTCTATGTAATATGCTTATCTGAAAAAGCTCTCATCTGCAGCAATATGGAAATAAAATTCTGCTTTCTAAAATTCAAGACTTTTAAAATGCATTAATCCACACAGTTTATGAAATTGCTTTGGACATTTTAAAATCCTTTCTTTAAGAAGAAAACGTTAGCAATTGGTAATAGTATTTGTTGCTGCGTTTCATCGTGGACAAGCGCACATCCATGCAGAACTTCCACAGGCCTAGAAACAGGGCAGACATAATAGGGAGTAAAGAGCAGCTATGGTATTGGGCAAGGAATCACTCAGTGGCTAAAAGAAAATGTTCAGAAACTCTATCAAATTACATTATTAGAGAACTATTGTTATAATAGTTTTATGGTCCAGATATAAGTAGAGCTGAAACATTACAGAGACAATACATTTAGTTGGAGGAAAGAAGACAGTCTGTGAGTGTGTTGGCGGCTCCTCCAGCTAATGGCAGACTTCTCTTTGGCTTCTGAGTGATGATGGCATCTCCCAGACCAGAGTCACCAGCTCCACTGCCCGGAGGGCACCACCAGGCTAGGCTGCTGGGTGGGAACTAAGGCCAACTGGAGGGCTACAGACTCCCTGACTTAAGGAGCAATTCTTTTCCCAACAACTGTTGCCCTTGTGAAAATGTCGGTTCAGGTGTGAAGATCTGATTTTTTTTTAAACTATATCTTTATTGATTTCAGAGAGAGGAAGGGAGAGGGAGAGAGATAGAGGTATCAACGATGAGAGAGTCACTGATCAGCTGCCTCCTGCAGGCCCCCACCAGGATCGAGCCCACAACTTGGGCATGTTCATGCTCAACCGCTGAGCCACGCAGGCTGGACAGATCTGATTTTTTTAAGAGAAGACGGAAAGGCCAGATTTCCCCCATTTTCTAGGTTGTCAACTATGTAATTTTTTAAACAACAAACAATTCTGTTTGGACACGATTTAGTCATCTTCCAGACCAAGCCTGGCAGAGGAATCAGTCCTCCACACGAATCTCTGTGGACACTCCCCATTCTGAAGGGCAATCGCCATCACCTGTAACTACCTTCGACACTATGGACCAAATACAAAAAGGCTTAATTTACTTGTTTTAAATCCCGGCACTAGGTAAGAACTCTGCCTACACCGTGATGGTTGTAGAGGTGCACTGGGGAGCCCTGCACCGCTCAGGGCACAGACGCCGTAGGTAACTCCTTTCCACACCGAGGTTCGTAAGCCTGATCTTTTTGTTCCACGGACTTCTAACACATTTTACAGGCCTAATTCTCTTCCACTGTCCTGCGTTAATCAAAGCTGTAACCCCTGTTGCCTTTGCACTACAGAACCAGAATGTGCCCCTGGCGAGGAATGGGGGAAAAGTCAACAGGAATTAAATTTCAGAGCAACTGTTTACTCAACTGCGGCTGCAGTTATTGAAATTTTACCCGCGGTTTTGTGTGACTACCGCAGTAATGAATTCAGCATGGCTGTGATTTTCTCACTGCTGGGATTCTCACTTCAAGTAAAAACCTGCAGAATAAAAGGAATGAAAACCACCCCAGTCCATCACCCTGACACTCGGACTTCTCCAAAATGTTTAATTGTTGCAGTTTTCAGTCTGGAAGAAAACTTTGATAACTCTAGTCCTGTGAAACTATGAATTCTGCAGTTTTTTCTTATTTCACCTACAGATTTTCTTTTCCCCCAACAACCGGTTAAAAGCCTCATCGTGCACTTAGGGGAGTCCAACAGCTGTCAGTATTTTATTTTAAAAGACCAAACAAGCCTGCCAGCCACAATATGTGAGGTTATAGTCACAGTGATAGACGCAACTGCTTTCTTTCGTCCTAAAACGTATCAATGGCAAATAGAAACAAAACAGTTATAAAAATATTAAAAAAGAGTTTTGAAGCAGAGTCAAAAGGTATTGACCTTTATTTGACATATTTTCCAAAGCCGTCACAACCCAAATAAAAAGGGGAGATATGAATAACTAACTTTCCTATTGACACTTTTTAAGGAAGGTGTTGTTAAAATGCACTTTTAAACTTTTTTCTGTGAGGTTAATTTCTCATTGCTGTTATGAGGGTGTGTGTGTGTGCGCATGGTATATAAGTAAAGTTTCTGGCTGACTACTTTGAGATAGTGAATGATTTTAAGATCTTCAAACAAAATTCAGAAGTTAATTTTCCACTTATTTAATTAATGTAGTCTAAACATTAATTACTTGGGGTTCATACCACATTGGTCAATAGCCCCACCCCAACTACTCCATGAAGAAGCAGTTGATCTTGGCCTCTGTATGGTAAGGGCATAGAAAATGGCACTCCAAAATACCAACCATTTATTCTCAAAAGAAACCATAAACATCTGTGAGCAACACATAAACAAATACATGTACAAATATGTGGGTACCCTTCTACCACAGACTGGTAGCTTTGGCTAACAAGCTTATTGTTTAGAACTTGGCCGTTTGAACTAACATAAATGCATATAGCCTCTCCACAGAAAACCCAGCTGATGTAATGCCCGAGGTGCAGGCACATGTGGGCTGGGCTGCTGATAAGAGAGACTGAGTCACTGAGACCAGGTCCTTGGGTTATGATTTTACCTTGTTTCTGAGTTTCCCTTTCTCTCTGATAGGTTCTATGGTGTCCTGTGAGTTCCACCAATTTCTAATAGACCAGTAATTGATGATTCTTTATATTTTCAAGAATTTTTAGGAAGGACGAAATAAAATATGGCTACATCCCCAATATAAGAAGGGGTTCCCTTTGCTTCTCTGACAGATTCCAGGGGAACGTCTGAGAGGAGGTTTGCCACTCTCTCCCCTCACCCCCCGACAAATTCTGTTTCTTTCAGAAAGGCCCAAAGATACATCATTCTTTTTTCACCTTTTTTCTAAGTGGCACCGTAACTATGTATTATACAATTGAATCAAGGACTAATATGGAACAAAAACCACCCAATATTATTTAAAAAGCTAATACTATATCCTGATTCTAAGAAAGGCTGGAAAACAATGCCTGTCTTCAGGCAAATGCTGTTTACTCATTTGAATTTCCATCAACACTTTGGTCACACAACACCCTTTTCTGGGTCACCATTTGGAAATGTTTTACCTGTCACTCACAGGTGCCCACTTAAATGCCTACAAAAGACTATAGCAGGAATGAGTGTATCCCAATTTATGTGCATTTCAGGGAGCCACCAAACAGAGATAATAAAAAACATTAATAGCATTTAGCCACATGCCAACAGCCATATGTATACCAGAAACATATGTAGATGGCCCACACCCCTAAATTCCTGCAGGTAGTAGGAGCAATTTCTTACACTGATGCCTGTGTATTGCTTTTTGCCTGTTATTTACCCAATTCTGCCTGTATTTCTATTTGTTTCTACTCTAATTCACCTAATTTTTTCTCTCTTATAAGCCCTTATTTTCTTTTATCTCTCATCCCTTATTTTAATTTCTTCTTCATAACACTTCATAAAATCAGTTAGCCATTTCTTTTTAACTGAACCATGGTGCACCACTTTTCCAAAGGTTCGTTTTATTCCAAATAGTTAAACTTTATGCTGACACATTTGGGGCTGGGAGTGCCCAAGGGTCCTCTCAATCTCACCCTCAACAAGCACACCCCAGTGGGGGTTTCCAAGACTCTGAGCTCCCAAGGGCTTGAGAATTCATTTCTTAAGTAAACCACTGGGACCCTAGCACACTGGTGGCTTAAAAGATGCTGCTTACAGTCGCAGTCGGGTGAGCATGAAACATTCACAGTGGTCAGAGGCAAACGAAGCGGAGGAGCTGGCACCCACTGCCCTCCGCGGCCGGACGCCCAGCCCAGTACCTGCTGCTGCTGCACGTGGGCCAGGTCGGCCGGCCCCGCGTCCAGGGCCGGCGCCTCCCCGTTGGCGCGCCCTTCCCGGAGGCCGCCGCACTCTAGCAAGTGGTTGCCGCCGCTCGACCCGTTCTGGACGGCTGAGCCATTACTTCTTGTCTCGGGCCCAGATTCTTGCATCATGACTCAAAAACCTGCAGCAGGATTTTCAGGGGGCGTGGGGGGAAAGAAAAAAGGAAAAAAGCAGCTGTTAAAACAGTTGTTGTGCACAAGAAGGGTCCTGCTGTAAATGTTGCCAAAAATCTGTAAACAGTTGTCATTTTCTTTCACTGCACTTATCCCTCAGCAGTGTTCAGTCCCCTAGTTTTTGAGTATGGAACTGTCAGTCCAAATTCAAATTCTAGTAGTACTATTTCAAATCTTTTTCCCTTTAGAAAAAGTGAACATTTTCAGTTGAACCTAGAATCGATGGTTGAATTTCTGTGGTCATACCTGGGTAATCTGCTCAAAAACCATGTCCTTCTCTATAGCACAGGAGGCGTAACATGAAGTTCTGGTGTGCGGGCTCTGAGGAGCGACGCGACCCTCGCAGGGAAACCCTCTCCAGCTGGCGTCTTCAAGGGGATGACACAGTACCAGGGGGCCCCCGAGGCAATTCGCGCTGAAAACCCTCACGGTCAAAAACCAAAGTGCATTTTAAGCTACATATTCCTGGGAATCACTCAGACACTAAAACTCTTCAGAACTGGCCATTCCACTAAGATAGGCCATTTTAGAGAGGAAAAAAAGTCCCCACTTTTCAAAAGCGAAATAAACTCAGACTTTGATCTTTGTCTTCTAGTTAAAATTGTCCCGAGAAATCCCACTCCATGCCGCATGTTTCTTATGCTGGATTCCCAGCCTCTAGTCTGGTTTAAGGCCTAAAAGGCTTGGGGCTTCTATTCCTTCTGGAGAAAACCTAGCCTAGGCAGTCTGAAGAAGAGCTCTGAATTGGAAAGTACTAAACAGCTAACGAAATGCATTCATACAGAGAGAGAGAGAGGGAGAGACAGAGGTGAGGAGGTGAGCAGCTAGGGAGTATTACCTGCGTAAATACATTTCACATTCCACCTTGCTGCTCTCTAGCTACAAACCGCTAGCCAATGCAGCTCTCGGTAAAGGTGTCCAATGCTGACAATAGACAGATAATACTTGCTAATGTCCACTGTCACCCTCTGCTGATCATCAGTGTTGTGCCAGGCCCTACCGCGGGTGATTACAGATATCCTCCCATTTAGTTCTAATAACAATTTCTACCCGCATTTGCAGATGAGAAAACTGAGCTCCAGGAAAGTTGTTCTGATTTGCGCCCGCCCCCCCGCCCCCCAGCACAAACCACAGCTGGGAGCGGTGGGGTTGGGACTGGAGCGAGTCCCGTCTCATGTCAGTTCCTAAGCACAGGTTTTCTTAAAGCTGAGGTGCGGTGGGGGCTAGCGAATGAAATGGCGGGGTCACACTCCACGCTCACAGGGCAGAGCTTCAGAAAGGCAAAGCAGCCGAAGGAAGCGGACAACTCAAACACGAAAGCCGAGGAACGCCTGAATAATTAAAACTGTGATGTGAAACACCAATCACAGACACAAGGTCGACTGAAACGGAGACGCGTACAGCCAGTGCTTCAGATTTCTCCCCCACACATAAAATATGTGACAGCAGGAAAATGTAAACACAGGGAAATCTTAGAGGAGGTTGCCTTCTTGCTCAAAATTGGTTTAACTCTTTTCTATAGACTTGCGCAAAAACCAAATGGAAGAATTGAAAGCAGGAGAAACTTACATCTTTCATTTTCTTTCAGTGAGTGCACAGTATGATCCAACTTGAGTACAAACTTAAGCCCAGAAGACATGTTTTTTAAAGTTAATGCAATTCAGAAAGGGATTAAGAATGGCATTTTTTGTTAACAGGTGGGAAACAAGCTCAGAAGCAACAGCTGATTCACTCTCTTCCCTTTAGATCAGACTTTCCAGTAATTATAGGCCTTTAAAAGTACTGTTGCAGAGTACAGAATCTATCAAAAAACAACACAGCTTTTTCTGAGATATGAGAACCAAGCAATGCAAGTACCCTGTTCATTACCAAAAAAGGAAATCAACTTGTGAAATCTAGGGATTTCCTTCCCCATGTTTCAGGTTCTGACCCACAAACCTGCCTGTTTGGTACAGAAGGGAAAGACAGAGCTTAGGTCTTTAAGGCAGAGGGTGGTTGTCTTAGAGTAATTAGCAAGGAAAGCCACTGAACTAGTGGGACATGGAATGATCATGCTTAAAGAAAAAACAAAAATATTACTTTATATATATATATTTACCTCCTGGAAAGCCTATTCATATCAGGGACTGGATCCCCAAAAGACAAAAACACTGCCTACACATAAAATCTATCCCTGCCCTCAGAACGGGGTGCATGTAGCCAAACATCCAGTCCTTGTGAAGCTGGGCTGCTTCCTAACCCTGTGACTGTCGGGACTCCAGACATGCAAACAGGGGTCTGAGAAGCCAGCCCCGCTGTGTCCTGGTCTGACACTGTCCTGTGGGTGCAGGAAGAACAGTCTCCACTCCACAACCTGATGAGAAGGCTCTGCTCCATGCAGTTCCAGAGAAGACTGCCAAGTCCTCTGGTACGAGTTAGCAGGCATCAGGCCAGGCAGCTTGTCTTGCGAATCGGGTTTGTGAGAGTGCAGGCTTTGGGACCAAAATTGCATAAAGGATTATTTTGGTCTGAGGATGTCCTTAATTAGTCAAGTGCTAACAGTAGCATGTAGGTTGGAAGATTTAAAATTTCCCATAATCTCCCACACCAATCAGGAGGAAAAAGCTTTTTGAAAAGCACATGTGAAAAATTAGGAGTGCCAACGTCTAAGAATATTTCTAGCAATACTTGGGTAGGCAATATTTCTTTCTATGGAATGTTCCAAGCCATTTAATAAGCCTTTATATCTGTATCATGCTTCACAAACTACAAAGCCCTCTGATGTACTTTTCAAACCCACAGCAAGCCGGTGAGAGAACAAAGGCAGATGATGTGACCCCCAATTTGCAGATAAGACAACTAAACCTCAGTGGGTTTCGGCACAGATGCAGCCATAATATTCCCTATTTCAGACTGAACATGTCCATTCAGTAAATGACAATTTCCAATTTGCAAAAGTCCTGTGCAAAGTCCAATTAGTAAACCAATGAATAGAAAACTAAGTAATTCCTGAAAAGACAACAATGAAGGTGACAGGTGGACTAAGAAAAGCATCTAAAACGCAGAGATGAGTGTCAGCGTTCTTTAGCAAACTGTATTTGTCCTTTCCTATTGAGTTTTACAATTTCAGAGTCATCTGAAAGCCAGTCACTGTGTGCGAGAGGCATGTGCGTCCTCTAACCTCGGGCACTGCGCCCTCCTTTCCCAGAGGAGCACCTCCTCACACCCGGCCCGTGTAACCCGGCCGGGCCTCCCTATACGCAAACAGAGCAAGAAAGGGTGTGCGCCCATCGGAGGGCCTGGACGGGGAGACGTGGCACCTGGGGGGCAAGGCAGCCGCACCACCGAGGCCTTTCTCCAGAAACAAAGCCCCGCCTCCCGCAGGCTGCCCGGGGGTCCCCGAGAGAGGCCACCCGCTGGCATCACGCAGGACCCTCCAGTACAGATGCTGCGCTGCACTGGGCTGAGCGCGCGGACGCCGTCACCCCCAGGGCTCACGCGAGGGGCGCACGGGAGGCAGAGAGCTCGAGGAAGCCGAGGGGCCACTTCCCTCTTGCTTGGAAACGTTAGATAGAGCTTCTGATTTCAAAAGATGGGTGTGTGTGCTGCAGGGACTTACGGAAAGGGGCAAGAGCTGAGGTTAGCTTACCTATCATCGTTGCCACAGAGCTGCTCTCTGGGAGTATTCTGGAAAATTCATAATGTCCAGACCAATGTATTTATAGTAAATTAAAGCACTGCTTTATTATTATGATTATTTCCTTGGTTACAGTGTTGATGCTGAAAATTTAGGGAAAATAAAGCCCTTGTTATCATGCTTGTGAAGGATTTTAAGCTAACAAAAAGTTCAGTCTTGATTCCAGGGCAGTTAATTAAGGTTGACCAAGTCAGGCAGAAGTAAATTAACTTGGCTGATCAATTATTTATATGAAGCAGAATAAATGCCCTTAAAGAACTTGGTCTGTTCATGAAAGGATGTGTAAATTAAACTAAACATACTTTTATAAAATATATTTCCACTTCTATGGAGAGAAAAGAGAAGTTAACTGCAGAAATCACTTTTAGGAAAACCGTTAGAGTGATTACCGGGCCACCCTACATGTAAAAGGAAAAATCCTCATTGTTCAAGGAAAGAAGGGAAACGGGAGCGATTTTTAAGAGATAACAGAAGCTCCTGGGGGGAAAAAAGACGGAAGGAAAGGGGGGGGGGGAAGGCCAG